ATGTGACTGATTTCCAGAAGGGGTCGGGGAGCCCAGCCGCCCAGCCCAAGACCCGTGTCCTCCTCACCATGAGGCTGGATTCCTCCCTCGCCCTCTGGGCACTCAAAGGCTCATAAAGAAAGGAAAGGCAGATTTTGTGGTGACTTGGGGAGCGTTAAAGATGTCGGAGGGGTCGTCTGGGGGCCCCTGAGCCCCAGGACGCCTGGAGGGGTCCGCTGTGGTGAGGGGGCTCTGTGATGACAGGCCAGCTCCCTCCTCTTATCCTTGGAGGGTCACGTCCAATTAGCAGACAAGTGATGCCCCCAACCTCTACCGGGCGCCTTGAGCTGGAGGCACCGCCCTCCCTGGGTAGGCTTGGACATGGATGGCGAGGCGGGACATGGGGGTCCCTGGAATTTATCAGCCCCCGGGGGCTCTGGCTCCACCGTCACCTTGAAGTGACACCAGCTGGGACCGGCTCCCCTCCCCCATTTCTGCTGTTTCCATGGGGACAGATGTCCATTCGCGGCAGCATCCGGGCCACGGCTGCCCGCCCCGGCGGAAAGGAGGGGCCGGTTGGGGGCAGGGCCGGCCTGAGAGCCTCCCCCCCTCCCTCGGTTTCTCCGTCTTTGTATCTGCGCGGGATCGGCTCTCTCCGCGTTTTCATCTGACTTCATACTCAGTGTCGCTGTTTCCCTCAAGCCCTCTTAGTTGTGGGCCATCCTTGTGAGCAATGCAGGCTTCACCCCCAGCCGCGGTGGGGGACACCCGTCTCCCTTCTTTCCCTGGGGCCGGGATCCCCGCCTCCCAGAAAGGACACTTGAAACGCACAATAACTTATTTATTTCCCAGGCCAGAGGAGGGCTGGGAGACGCAGTTCTGTACCCTAGAACCCGGGAGAGGGCCAAGAAGCAGCCCCGATGAAGGCCCAGGGCTTTGGAGGGGCAGCGAGCGTCTCCCTCCCGCTTCCCTCCAGCAGCGACTCTGGGCCCGCGCGGTGCAGGGCAGGGGCTGAAGCTCCTGGGCTCAGGGCGTCTGCACGACCACCGGGTACAGTAGGGCCAGGTGCTCAGCGCCCTGCACGGGCAGCGGCCGGGAGCCGTAATGCAGGACCAGCTCCGGGACGCTGGCGAAGGGGCCGCTGTGCTGACCCAGCACGAACTGGTTCTCTCGGGTCCGTGCGAACTTCAGGTGCAGGAAGCCCTGGCTGCCCCTGGGGGACAGGCATCGCAGAGCGCCTTGATCGCCCCAGACCTGCTGAGGCTCTACGAGCCTAAAGGCAGGCTGGAACACAGGCTGCGCTTTTTCTCCAAACCTTCTGAGCCCGTGCCCTACCGTTCCGGGGCTCCCCACCGGTTAACCTTCAGTCCGGGCTCCCTCTCCTTTCTAAACTGTCTGCCCAATGGAATGACCTTGAACCTCAGAGTCATTGTATCCTTAGCATGAAGGAAGCGCTCGTGGCAGGGGCAGGATTGAAACCTATTCTCCAAGCTCTCTTCAACCTTGTTCTTTTAGGGATCTCACGCTCGGATGCCCAGCAGAGTTTGGGGGCTTGTTAGAATCCGACACACTGATAATCTTAGAGACGCACGTCGAGTCGGGATCTCCAACTGAAATGCCCATAAGGGCCACTGGGAGAGTCTGGCCCCGATGGACACAAACGGATACAATTCAACTTTTGGACGGGAGGAGTTGGAAGGAAAGGTCTGGGGGCGCCCGGGTGGCCCAGGCGGTTGAGCTGCAAGTCGATTTCGGCTCAGGTCGTGATCTCACAGCTCGTGAGCTCGAGCCCCTCGTTGGAGCCTGCTTGGGATTCTCTCATTTTTCTCTCTCTGCCCCTCCCCCGCTTGCTCTCTCTCTCTCTCTCTCTCTTTCTCTCTCTCAAAATAAATAAGCTTAAAAAAAATAAAGGAAACTTCTCACCCACACCCTGGATCTACTGGAGACCACGCCCCCTGGCCCTACAAGGCCCGCCCCACTGGGCCTATAAATCCCCTCCGTTTTCCTGAATCCCGCCCTCCCCCACCCTCCACAGCCCCGAAAGCCCCGCCCACTGGCTGCTGGCGCCAGGCTTGGCTGCCACCGAATTAACCCGAAAGCCAGAGGCGGGCAGTTCTGCGACGCTCGGTCCCTCCAGGGGGGCTGGGGTCTCACCTGAGGGACAGGGAGCAGTCTTGGGGACTGGTCTCGCTGAGCCGCACGAGGTAGCTGCCTTCCTTGCAGAGCGACAGGAGGCTCTCAGCATCGGCCCGGCTCAGTGGGCCGTGGAACCACCTAGGGGGTGGGGACAGATGTCTCCTCAAGGGTCATCCCCCTTCGAACGCACCCTGGGGCCTGGTGCAGGCACAGCCGATCCAGGGACTTGTGACCTCCAGGCAAACAAGTGACAAAAATCCCCCCCGGGGTTTCTCAGGGGGGGGCCTGGTTTCCAGGCAGCTGAGCCCAGGTCCACGTGGAGCCGCTCCCCCCAGTTCAACAGATACACCTGACCTTGATCTCTACAGCCTCCCCAGGCGAGGTCCCCAGTGGCCTGTGTCCCCTTCCCTAATCGCTCAAACTGAACCACTTGCGTGGGGCTTTCACGAGACTTGCCACATCCCGTATCCCCACCCACCTGTAGCATCCTTTCTCGAATATTTCCCTGTAATGTGCTCAGGGAGAGGCTAGCGGTTGCGAGCGGCGGGGCTCAAAGGCAGACGAGCGCCCAACAGACTCGGCGGTTGTTTGCATGGAAAGACCCTCCTCCCCCGGTGCCCCCTTCTTCACCAGTCAGCTCTGTGTCACGGTTTGGGAACAACCGTGATAAACACACAGGCTGGTGGTGCCCTCAGGGCTGGACTCGGCGGGCTGTTAGGGACTTCCCGGAGGAACCGCTAGGCTGGAGAGGCACAGAAAGGACCCGGACTCCCCCAGCTTGCGCGCCTAGAGGTTAAGCGACTTGCCCAAAGCTGCACAGCCAAGAGACGCAGGGCAGAGATGTGAACCCAGAATCTGATGCCAGGGGGAATGACCTAGCTAGGTGTCTGTCACAGGGGCAGGCTCCGGTCCCCAGCGACGATGGGCAGAGGAAAGAACTGAAGTGAACGAATGAGTCCTAGGAATCTGCAGCTGGTACGGGATGGGGAGGGTCCTCCAGCTGGAGCTTTCCCACTCACGGCTGTTTCTCCAGGGGCAGGGCCGGGTCCACGCGCTCTGCGGGCTGGGGGCTTCTGGATGCGGGTTTCCGGAGCTCTTTGGCTGAGCCTGGGGTCCTTTCCCACTCCGGGCCGTCAAACTGCACTGGAGGGGGGAGGGGGAGGGTTAGAGAGGAAACGGTTAAGCCCAACCCCACCCGGGAGGGGCGGGACCGGGGCAAGCCAATGCACTCTCAGTAGGGAGGCGGTGCCAGCTTGGGCAACCTATCAGAGTCCCCAGTAGGTGAGGCCGGGCTTAAGGGCTGGGGCAGGATTGGCACGGGAGCAACCAATCGGCCTTCAGGAGAAAGGGGTGTGGTCACTCAGGTGTGCTGGCTTGCAGGGGCGGGGCAGCTCCACGAGGGACCAATCTGAGAGCAAGGGGCGGGGCTAGAGGGGAGGGGTGGTCATTCTGCAGACTCTGGCCAAGTCCTGGAGCCTAGAGCCCCGCCCCCACCATGGACAGGTAGAGTGAGGCGCTGAGCCCCAGTGTCCCTCCAGGTCACACAACTTCTGGGGCCAAGCTGGGTTTGCACAACTCTCGCTGGCCCACGTTATTTTATTTCTTAAAGCTGACCATACTGTTACCCTCTTTACAGAAGAGGAAACTGAGGTCAGAGACTTGGCCATGCTTCCCCCACTCAGGATCTGACCCCAAGCCCACCTAATGACAGTTACTAAGAAATGCTACGCTCTCCCCCAACAGCACTTTCTACCACTCGCTTCGCACGCACCCTGTTCTGTAGGTGCTAGAATGACCCCCGTTTGAGGGGTAAGGCAACTGAGACTGAAAGATAAAGTCTCAAGTGAGTGACATAAACCCAGGCCTAGCCTATCCCTGCACAACATTGAGGATAAAGAGTCGGTTCCATCGCCCTCTAACGGCGTTTCTGCTCCCAAGGAAGATACAAGTTCTCGTAGGAAGAGAAATGTATGGTTATCAGTCCTTCACACTTCAGTGAGAATGAGTAAACTATCACGGTGGCAGGCGACTGGGGTCTGTTTTGCACGTTGAAACAGGGGGAAAAGACCAGATCAAGAAATGGAAGGGTGAGGACATTCAGGGCCCATGGAAGGTCAAGGCCTGGGTCGGAGGGGCACCTGCAAACGCCTTGGAGATGTGGTCTTTCTTCCACTCCCAGGGCTGATCATACTCATCCGCTGGCCGCTCATCCTCCTGAGGCAGCCGGCTCTGGCGAGGTCTCCTTCCAGAAGGGGGCCCATCTCCTGGCTCTCGGTCCTGCTCCTCATAGGGGGTGTCATACAGCTGCACCCCCTTGGACGGCAGTTCTGGGAGGCGGAGAACACTGGTCAGTGCCCACACCCACCAGGGACCCTGCCACCTGCCCCCAAACTCTCACCCCCCC